CAAAAAACCTAGCAATACAATAGCAAAATTTGGAATGTTTTTTCTTCTTACAAAGATTAGGAGAAAAAAAACTCAAAATTCAAAGTTATATTAAAGTATTATTTAACATTTTCTCTCGTCTTTATCAAATAGTTTATTAATGTCAAATACATCATTTTGTTTCTCTTCTTTTTTGAGAATTGAAGTATTATGGTCCGATTGCTTGCTAGATCAATAAAAATATAATATTATTACAACTATACGAAGTTTGAAAGCTGTTTTGATTCTATATAGAATTTTTTTTATTTTAACATCTGAAATCGTATATAAGTTCAAAGGAGGCTTGTTATCATATATAAACTCAAAATAGACTTGTTCCGTTTTTATTTATTAGGTGATTAAAGATAACATGAATACCTTTTATAGTAATTTTAATCAAAATTAGAACTTATATAATCTATTTTGCAGAACTAGTTACCAAACAGTTTTAATTTAATTTTAAAAGAGCTTCCTAATAGCTTTTAAGCTAAAAAAAAAACTAAATCAAACATACTCTTTGTATTAAAAAAAATTTCAGAGTATTAATTCTTTCATGCTATAAAAACCCAAACATGAATTGGCGTCTTCCCTTATGATCCCATGCATATATTACAATATAAATATATATATATATATATATAATTTATGGCATTTCTACCTGTCTTGGAACTGACCTTTCTCTTCCAACTGTTTTCAGTAAGTGAACACTTAATTTTGTGTGTCTCTGTCCATATGCTTTGTTGGAGTTTGAAGATGGAGGATTTCTCAACCAATATTTTCTAAACAAGTGGTCTAAATTGAGATGAGATATCCAGTGAATATTGGCTAATTAAACAAAACAGGATGGACGTATTATCTTTTGCTTGTTTGTTAAGAATGCACCATTTGTGTTAATCAATTATGTAAAACTATTTGACTTTTTTTTTCTCTTAAATTGGAATCCAACCTCTTTATTAAATATGAAAATATTTTCAAAGGGATGGCAAATTGATAACCCATCATATCAAATAATTAAAGCCAGTATTCTACGATTTGAAAAAGAAAAAAAAACCATCCTTTTAACCTACGTATCATTTTCACTATCGAAATGATTATCACTTATCATTAATTTATATAATTGTAGAAATTTCAGTTGCCTTAAATTTGTTCTACCTGCATGATTTATACATGTAGAATTTAACTCTTAATCAATTCGGTATCTTTAATAAAATTGTAAGACTCTCTAAACATTGGCAATTGAGTTCTTCCCTATATTTGAGTTTCATTTTCCTTTTTTTTGAATGTCCAAAACAAAGTTTTGTTTCTATAAGAATGTTATATATATATATATATATTAATAATATTGCATATCAAAGTAGGGATATTAGAAAATTTTTTAACTGACTAAAATGGTCGTATGTGTTTACTGTATTTCTAAATTGTTGTTTTAAATATTTTTTATTATTATAGACAATTCATTTTATATTTTAGAAATATTTATGTTTTATATAAATATTATTTAAAAAATAAATAAAAAAATATTTATATATAAAGTGTTATAGATTTTATATCAGTACGAGATGAGATGAGTTTGAGTTTATAAATAAAAGCTTTCATCCACTTAATAGGCATGTCTTTTGAATTTAAAATGTGGACTCGTGACAAGTGAATCATTATAGACCTAAATCTTTACTGATGTAGAACCCTTATGAGAGATATCGAAGTTGAGGTAGACCTAGGGCAATATGAAGATACTTCTCTTCTATGGGTAAAGACCTAGTGTAATTACCAAGGACTAGTGTAATGATTTCTCTCCTCTATGAGTAAAAAGCCAGTGTTGCACAATTGGGTGGAGTAGAATATTACTGATTTCACATCAGTAAGAGATATGGTGAGCATTGAGTTTATAAATAAAAATCTTCTTTCACTTAACAGATATATCTTTTGAATTAAAAATATGAATTTGAGACACGTAATAATGAATATTACCTAATATATATCATATTGTGATGGAGAAATTAGGATACATGGTGGTGCCCTTAAGACCAAAGAAGTTGAATTGTTTTGGACCATAAAAACAAGGATGAAATTGATTGGTCGTACATATGTTTCCTTCCTCGTTTCGTTTGGCAAGCAGCATGATATTTGCTACAAACGTGTAAAAAATGAATCAGAAAATATGAACAAAAATGAGTTTGATGAGCTACCTAATTTTTGTTTTTTAAACTTTCTTCTTGTTGTGTCGTATTGCATTATTTGATAGATGATGGTAACCTTTTCTGTTCATGATAAATGCTTTACATTTTTTTTCTTCAAGGGTCAAGATTTTTGGGTTTACTTTTCTTAATTCCCACTTAAATTAAACATTTTATTTATAATTTTACTTGTAATCTCTTGAGAGAGAGAGAGCGAGAGTCATACTCGCCAGTTTGATTCGGATTTCCTATGCTCAAATGATTTCAGAATTGGAAATTAGCTAGCTTTTGCATTAATTAACCTTTTCTCTTTGGTTGTTTTAATGTGGGGAGAAAAGTACATATTAAAGATATAATTAAAAGTCTTTACCCAAACCTCTTTAGCTAATCCTTCCATTAATTATTGAACCAACGCCCTAGTGCCACTTACTTTACTTGTCTTATCCCAGTGAATGGTTATTTTGATCGTTACATTACGTAGTCTTCTTCCAATCATACATGTTGGATGTATTTAGATCATTATCTTTTAGTCGTAAAAGAAGTAATGTAAAAATTTCCACGACAATGAAAAATAAGATAGTTTATTTAGGTTGTTGACCAAAGGAAAAAAAAAACAAATAATAGAGATAAAACGGTGGGATAAATTCAATTGATAATCAAAACATAAGATTTTTTCTTGAAAAATTACAAGGGTTGTGCTAGGCGTTGATTGAGGTCACCATCGTTAGTGTCTTTAAACATCTAGTTAAAGAACGTATATGCATGCACTTTTTTCAAAGAGAAGGGTTAGATTTGAAGTGTTTTTCTTTTTTTTAAAAAAAAAAAATTATTATCGTTAATTAATTACTATTAGTTAAATTAACGCTTGTTATTTTTATGCTAACAGTAAAACCTTTATAAATTAATACCTTTTGAATAATGAAAATTTATTAATTAATGGAGATATTATTTAATGTATAATTTAATAATTCATTAATTTATACATTTATTAGTAAAAATTAATTTATCAAGATATTCTCTCTTTTTTTCAAAACATTATTGAACGTAATACATGTATTGTGCATTGTGGTTATACGAATATTACTTAATTAGAGAATTATGAATTGTCATTATTCTATGTATTTTTTTAACCAAAACAAGTTCATTAATGAAATTAGTCTTATTAAATGGAAGTCATTAATCTATCTATTTTTATAACAAACTAAAATTACATTCAATTATACTTAATTAATATAGTTCACGAATATTAAGTCAAGCGAAAATATCCATATAAAGAATATACAGTATCATAAATGATAAAATTAAACATAACAACTTTTCATCTCAAAAGTGTAAATAAATCAACAATACGTATGAAATACATAAAGCATTGAGTACAACATAAAAAAAGAAAATCAAATTTCACCTAAAAACAACAATTACATTATATAATTTTTTCTTGCAATATGAGAACACTAGATCAGAGCTTTTTAATGCACTAAGAAAAGTTAAAAAGAAGGTCTAAAAGAACATCAATTTCAAGAAAAAACAAGTAACATTAAAATCATATTTTACAGAAGCCTTATAATTGAGTCATGTATATATATAATTTTGATGTATAAGGAGATTATTAATTTATATATTAAGTGAGACTTATGTGTTTTTTTTTGTAAATGTACTATCTTATAAATTTAATCAATTATTAATTTACCACATTAATCCTAAGTCGGAACGGGTTAAAAATATTATTTAATCGAAGTTATTAATTTATCAAAAGTTTTACTATATTTTTATTTAATGAAAAGAGTTGAATTTGATTTTTTTAAAATATATTTGATAGAATAATTATTATTGTTAACTATTGACTAATTACTTAAAATATTACTTGTTATTTTTATGCTAACATGACATTATGATGGAAGGTAAAAATTGCCACGTAACCATGTAATCATGTTATATTAATATTTTACGTTGTCATCTTTTATAACATTTCAGTATGTCATACGTGATATACAATAATATGTGACATTTTGATTAACTATAACTAATCAATTATTAGTCATAAAGGTCTATTTGATCTAAAATAAAAATATAAAAATTTAATTAAAGGTAATAAAAAAATTTATATTAATTTTTTTAAAATAATTTAAAGATTTTTTTTAATATTATACTTATTTATATTCTTGTTCAATGTATTGAAAATTATTACATTATCTATTAACTATACTACGACTACATTTAATGTTAGATTATTTTAATAAATAGTCATTAAACAGCCCAAAATTCCGTAACTTGAAACTTTAGACAAGTTCAAAATTCAAAGAGATTATAATTCAACCCTAATTTTTAATTTTGAATTTTGAGAAGAACGAATCAAATTTTTTTTAAAAAAAGAAAAAATAGTGGAATATTAAGCAGAAATAAAATATAGGAAAAAGCTTGTAATTACCGGAGGAACATGTAAGTGATAGAACAAAAAAAAAAGACAGAAAACAGCAGCATATGAGTTAGGGGGAAGACAAAATCAGAAAGGAGAGAGCAAGGAAACAGACAACGTTGGAACATGGACTGCCCAATTGCCCCTCGCCTCCCATTGCCTTTAACAACCAATGCCCCTCAGCCATGCACTGGCAAAGTTCCAAAACAACCTAACCTTTTGACTCATCTCCTGTTTCAGTTGTGAAGCTGTAACACGTGCCTTACGTTGTCTCCTCATTCACGCGCCCTTTCTCTCTGTTTCGACCTAACGCGCTCTCACTCAATTGCACCCAACTGTTCGACACCTGTCCTTCCCACAACCCTATAAATAGAACCGTCCCTAAACTCTCGCTTCTCCACTCAACCCCACCCAAAACCGTTTTGTCGTCTCAAAACCAACGCGGATCGTCTGCGTCTCTCTCTCTCGTTTCATTTCTCTCAGCGCTCGAGTCGCCGCCGGCTTCCGCCGCCGCCACCATCTCCACCACCACCAGCATCTGAAATGGAGGCCCGCCGGCGATCGTCGACTAAACCCGTTCAATCTCTCAAGCCAACAAAAACAATTCCTTTAGAAGATCACGCCAAAGCCTCCGACGCATTACCTCTTCCTTTGTACATAACGAATGCGGTGTTCTTCTCGCTCTTCTTCTCGGTGGTTTACTTTCTTCTTTCCCGTTGGCGTGAAAAGATCCGAACCTCGACGCCACTCCACGTCGTTACCTTTTCTGAGATCGCCGCGATTGTCGCTTTAGTTGCCTCGTTTATTTATCTCTTGGGATTCTTCGGGATTGACTTTGTTCAATCCTTGATTCTCCGACCATCAGCTGACGTTTGGAATTCCGAGGATGATGAAGAGGAAAATGAAGTTTTGCTTCGTAAAGAAGATGCACGTAAAGTACCTTGCGGCCAAGCTCTTGACTGCTCTCTTCCTCCGCTGCCTCATACGGCACCAATTGTAAATGCCCAGAAAGTGTTCGATGAAAAGCATGTGACCGTAACAACCGAGGAAGATGAAGAAATAATTAAATCCGTAGTGGCTGGAACAACTCCTTCATATTCTTTGGAATCGAAATTGGGTGATTGCAAGAGAGCGGCTGCCATCAGGCGTGAGGCGCTGCAGAGATTAACGGGCAAGTCGTTGTCAGGATTGCCTTTGGATGGATTTGATTACGAGTCGATTTTAGGGCAGTGTTGCGAGATGCCGGTTGGGTACGTGCAGATCCCAGTGGGAATTGCTGGGCCCTTGTTGCTTAATGGAAAAGAGTACTCTGTTCCCATGGCAACCACGGAGGGGTGCTTGGTGGCTAGCACTAATAGGGGTTGTAAGGCAATTCATTTGTCTGGTGGTGCCACGAGTGTTTTGTTGAAAGATGGGATGACTAGAGCTCCTGTCGTAAGATTCGGTACCGCGAGAAGGGCAGCTGATTTGAAGTTGTATTTGGAGGATCCTGACAATTGGGAGACCTTGGCCGTTGTTTTTAACAGGTTTGTTTGGATATTTTTCAAATCCTGTATTGCATGATTTTAATTCAAGCTAATATTGGTTCTGGTTTGTTGAATGTTTTGGTTTTTTGGGATGGTTGCAGATCAAGCCGATTTGCCAGGCTTCAAGGTATCAAATGTGCAATTGCTGGGAAGAACTTGTATTTGAGATTCACCTGCAGCACTGGTGATGCTATGGGGATGAACATGGTTTCCAAGGGAGTTCAAAACGTTTTGGATTTCCTTCAAACTGATTTTCCGGACATGGATGTCATTGGCATCTCTGGTGAGTTTCGTTTGCATAGATTTATAACTATATTCTCTCTCCTTTTTATTGCTTGAGTGGGATCACTAAACTTTATGGATTAATGATGATAGGGAACTATTGTTCGGACAAAAAGCCAGCTGCTGTAAATTGGATTGAAGGGCGAGGCAAGTCTGTTGTCTGCGAGGCTATCATCAAGGGTGATGTGGTGAGGAAGGTCTTGAAGACTAGTGTGGAATCTCTTGTGGAGCTTAACATGCTTAAGAACCTTACTGGTTCTGCTATGGCTGGAGCACTGGGTGGATTTAATGCTCATGCGAGTAACATTGTTACTGCAGTTTACATGGCCACTGGCCAAGATCCAGCTCAAAATGTCGAGAGCTCTCATTGCATCACGATGATGGAAGCTATTAATGATGGCAAGGACCTTCACGTCTCTGTCACAATGCCTTCCATTGAGGTAATTGATTGTTTTGCTTTCTGATTATTCAAACACAAGGATTTTCACTGTCAAAATTATCTGGCAGAGTAGACATAATTCCTGAGTATTTATGTAGGTGCCTAATTATCTCTGTTACCGTCTTAATTATCTTTTAGGTTGGCACTGTTGGTGGTGGAACTCAGCTTGCATCTCAGTCAGCCTGCTTGAACCTGCTTGGGGTCAAGGGTGCAAGCAAAGAGTCACCTGGAGCAAACTCTAGGATGCTTGCAACCATTGTAGCTGGTGCTGTCCTGGCCGGGGAACTATCACTCATGTCAGCCCTTGCAGCTGGACAACTTGTTAGGAGTCATATGAAATATAATAGGTCGAGCAAGGATGTCTCCAAGGCGTCGTCCTGAGAGAATGCATAATGATGAGTCTGTGTCAAGCCTCAATTTGGTGTAAAGATGCAAATCTCGTGGTATAAATGTAACCAAGCCAAGGAGACATCATCTCTTTGTAATAAGCGAAGATCTCTTTGTAATTTTCTTTATTTATTTTTGTATTTTGTTCTTTTCTTATTTTTTTATATTAAAACAAATACAAACCAACCAAGCCATGTACTCTGAGAATTGTGTAAAATGCCAGAAATGTTAAGTCGCATATATATTTTTTTTTCTCTTCAAAGATTCTATATATTCTGGGGTCCTCTTCCATATTGATTGCATCACATCTTGGGGAATGAATGATGACCTTTTCAAACTAAATTCCTAGAGATGCTTTAAATTTTAGTACTGATAGACGAGAATGACACCTCCACACGATCAATCTCGTTTGTTGAAAGTAGTGAAGCTAGCACACAGCATTTCTAGGGGAGTAAAGGATTAAGCTAATGTTGGCCTGTTGGGGCGTCTCATCCTTTCATGGCTGCTTCTTCAATTTTCAGCAACCTCTTTTTAAGTGAAGCAATCAACTTCCAGTCCGTGTCTGACGTCCCATCAAAGTGTCTGTTTTCTATATGTTCAATTAATTAACATTCACCTAGCTTGCACTTTGCTGTTCCTTAATATGTCAGATGTACATATATCTCTTATAGATTTTGCAGCAGCTGATTTCGTCTATACATGCTCATATCTTCGGGCTGCAGAGCAATGTATAAATGGTTGATGGAGAAGACACTGGCGTGGAAATGGTCGTGTCTAAAAAGGGAGTAGAAACCAGCAGAACAATAAAACGAAAGAAATATCCTCAAAGCATTCTTCCAACATTAACATTGCTGTTATGAACAACTATGTAAATATCCATTATATTATATTTTAAAAAATGCAAATCAAGTCAAACAGTATAATATGATTTGAACTTTTAGATAGAATTAAATTAAGATTATGATTTGAACTCTTAGATAGAATTAGATTAAGATTATGATTCGAGAGATTGTTGGCTTATAAATAAGTTTTTCACTTCATTTGTAAATATACACTTGAATAAAATCTTCTTACTTCCTTTAAATACTTTCTTTCTCTTTAAACACTTTCTCTTATATTTCTTTTACAGTTGTTCTTTTATATTTATTTCATAACAATTACATGATTTTTAACTCAAAATTAGAAAAAACACAGTACTATTAGATTTTAGGTCCAAATTAGAAAAACATTACTATTAGACGTGTCTGATAGCTGTCATTTGAAGTTCTGATGGAATACAAATTGAATTAAACTTCCTTCCAATTTGAAATGATCTCAATTCAAGAGGATCTAAATAATCAAATTCAAAATATGTGATTAGAAAATGACTTGAATATCAATTTAACCGTAAAATGAATTAAACTTGAAACCACTCAAAATCCAAACAATCAAATCCAAAAATACCATATTAGAAAATGACTCGAGTATGAATCCGATTATTTTATGATTAAATTCAATATAAAATCTAAAATATGTGATCTAAAATTGACTCAAATATGAATTCAACCATAAAATGAATTAAACTTGAACCCACTTAAATCCCAAATAATCAATTCCAAATTATCTAATCGAAAAATGGTTCGAATATAAATCAAATTATTTTATGATTAAAACTGAAGACAATTTAAAATAATTTAAAGAATCAAATTCAAAGTGATCTGATAAAAAAATGACTCGAATACAAATTACTTGTATATTTCATTAAAAGAAGTAATCCAGGATGATTTGTACTTTTTTTTCTCTATGTTAAATTGAATGTCTATCTTATCATTTTTGAAATCACACACTTGGGGTGGCTGGCAGGCTGCAGCAGGCAAAAACTGTTGAAATGTTCCGGAGTTCTATTTTGGATACAAGTTCTTGTGGAATATATCAATTTACCAAAGTGAACACTATCTTCAAGTTGCTTACCGACTCCACATTTGAGCCGAGTTTTCCAATTGAATTCAGATTATGCTATGAATTCTTAGCACCATATGTGGTGTAATGCTTCGAAGAAAGCACCGGTGAGGTTTATTCTTTTGACCATTAACTTATAATCTGACATGTGTAAGACGTTGTGAATTCTTATCATCATTACCTGGTCAGATAGATCCTGATCAGTCGTTGCAGAAAAGTAGAAAGAACAAATGGAGAATAATGCAATGTATCGAAATACCACTAGCGAAAGTTTTGGAACCTGGCATGAATTTTTCTCGTATGAAGCTGGAAAATAATAGGCAGGATCAAAGAAAGTATAATGGAGCCATAGAAAAATTAATAAAATAAAGAGGGCAAAATGAATCATGCGTTGCAATTTTTGCTGGGCAAATATCAATGTTGGCTGCTGGCAAAGAAGTGGACTAGATCAAAACAGTGGTTGCTGATCCGAAACTACCATATATAAAAAATCTTCTCTTGGCTTGTATTATCAGAAGACCATTGACCATTTCCCTCCATCTGATATTAGCATAATCTGATTACAGTTTCGTATTGTATTTTCATGAACGTCTATACAGGTTATCCCCCCAAATGAACAGTGATTTGACAGCAACATCATTTTGTTGTTGTTGTTGTTGTTAGACACAGCAACATCATTTACATTATGAACAGTCCCTGCTATTTCCAGATTATTAGCAGTTGAAAAATTCCCCTTAAGCTCGAGGCTCCGTAAGCGGCTGTTTGCATGCGGTTATTAGAGCAGAACAAGGGCTAATTCCAACTGAGTTTTCTATTGTTCCCTGTATTTGTCTGTCGATAATTCAGAGAACTAAGTCAATTATATACACCTTTGAATCGCGCTGCCAGTAAAGGTGTAGGAAAATTTCAACGGATTTATAGTAAACTACAATGGGCGCAAAGAATATGAAAGCAACTTTTGTTCTGTTGAAAATGCTGCCAAAGAATTTTGCAGCTTGACTAGTTGACTATATCAATGAGTGGATCAGCACCAATAACAAGAATTATTATACTAGCACTAGTCTATGTAGAAAATGTGGAACTATCTTGGCAATTTCGACCGTTAATAGTCTGGCTCGTCCTCTACGTTACTAGTGTGATCTTTTCTACGTGAAACCAATGCATCCTGGCAAAAGTTTCCTGCTTTTTGTCTTCCTTAAATGTAACCCTTTTTCTCAAACGTGATTTTTTCTGCTTCACACTAACTGGCCCGACGTCTCAGATCAGCTTTCAAGTTCTATCAAAGGGTGTGGTGCTGTGTTGTCTATTGCATGGCTTGTCATCATTTTTGTTAGTGCCTTTTCTAGATGAAACTGATGCAATTAATCCCAGCAAGTTTTCCATGGGTTTGGTCTTTCAATATGACCACTTAATGATTTTTTATGAAAAGCTTGTGACTAAATAGGCACTAACTTTATGATAATTGTGTTACTTTTTTCATGATTAACGTTACAACTAAACCATGTTTTCCCATTCAAAAACTCACAGCTTAATGCTTCCATTTGTTAGCCATGCAACAGCCCAGTAAGGCCCAATAAGGCTCTTAACTTTAAAAGCAGGTGTTGTGAGGGGGGAAACGGGCTTTAGGAGAATTGTGGGCGTTATACGATGTACCTTATAATTTTAGTTCACAGAATTATATTGCACATTAGCTTAGTCTATATATTTAAGCTGAAAGATCATTATATATTCCAATCTTTTTTTTAAAAAATAATAAGAAAAAATTGAGATGAAGAATTATTAGCACAAATCAAAAAGGAATTCGTTAATTTTATAAGTTAAGGTGTAACATCAATTAATTAAGAGATTTATGTTTGATATACTATCAGTGAATAATATTTATACTATACACCAATAATGTATGAAATATAAATTCTTAATTAAGATACATCATTAAATAGATTTTATTTAATCCATGTATGAAATTGCATATTAACTTATAAATTAAGTATTCTTATATCGTTAATTAATTACAAAAATTTAATATTATTGGTTTGGAATACCAAAACAGGCCAGAATGGATCATATGGTGGCAATTAAAATGTAGAGGGTTATTTAAGAAAAACCTAAATCAATTAATAGCATTCACAGCTTTGTCAGCTTCTACCTACTTAAACTTCAACCACCGACCATAATCAAATTTGGGGCTTGAACTTAAGAGTAATAAATTAATTAGTTTCATATAGTTTTGGGCATGGTCTGGCAACCAGAGGTAATCTATATGAAAAAGAGGAAAAAGGAAAGGAAAAGAAAAGAAAAGAAGAGTTAGGAAAAAGACAATGGATGTAATCACATGGACTTTGTTTATGGTGAGAGTGTACCCACAAATTAAATTATTATTACAAGTTTGCAAAAAGGTTATGCAATTGAATCCTGCTTTTGCAATAGATTAGTAATGTTAATGAAGAAGGTTGTCAACTTTACATTATTTAATTCAAGCAAGTTGCTCTCTTTAAAGTTGCTGTCTGGGCCCCGAAATTATGATGCGATTTTGAAGATTCTCCAGCTCGAAGTTTTCATGATTATTTTTATTATAAAGTGAGAAGAGGAACAAGGGAAAAAAGAAATATGTTTTTCAAGCTTATAACCTAGGATTTTGTAGGACATGACTAACGAGGATATCCCCTTCAAGGCTCCACTTTATAATAATTAATGTTGATTTTATCGACGTTATTAAAACAAAAATATGTATCCCCAATTCGCCAAGCAATGAATAAATAAGCTAATTAATTAAGTGATGGATATATTTATATATCAAAACTTCAAAACCTTCGTCAATATTTTTGAATATTTATATATTTTTGTTGCTTTTTAACTCATGGCTTGCCAATACTTTAATTTGGGAGGACAAAAAATGGTGAAAAGAAGAAAAGAAAAGTGCATGAATCAAATTAACATAACAATGCAAATTTTCTTTTTATTTTGGGACACGAGGGTTCTAATTTTATTTTATTTTTGGATAAAAAATTATGTATCAACTACTGAAATAAATGTTGGAGTGCATAAATAGAAGTTCTTATTATCCTTTTAAAATTAAAATATTAAATAAGTCTTTGAACTTTTTATATTTTTTTAAATAAATTTTTATTTTTAAATTATTTTTAAATAAACTCGTATCTTATAATTTATACTTAAATAGACTCTTAATTTGATAAAAATATATCTTATATATCACCTGACTTTATAAGTAACGGTCGATAAACCCGTTGTATCTTCTCCAGAAGTGGACGTTACAGGTAACCCACATTAACAAAAGCCATGTCAATTGATCATGAGTTTAAGAAT